AATAAATATTAAATATATTCAAATTTTTATCAAGCAACCTTAAACCATGCTGAAAGTAATTTTAAGAAGTTAATTAAATATAATCTATAAATTAATTATAATGGTCAATCAACAAATAATAAAAATTATTTAAGTAAATAAGATAAATATGGATAAAATGATTAATGTAACTAGATGTCATGATACTTAAGTTAAAAAAAAAAAAGGATAAATAAATGATGAAGATAAAAAAGGATGGGTGGTTTTGGGGTGTGTTAGAGAAACATTTTATAGAAAATATAAAAAAGTCAACTTGGGATAATGTGCTAAATAATGCGGATAATAAGACGATCTTTATTCCCAACCCAATCCAATCCAACCTAATAATTAAAAATTATTTCTCTCTCATTCACATACACAACTCAATCTTCCAACCTAATTAATTTTTATCCCCAACCCAACTCAACTTAAATATTTATTTTAATTTAATTTATTTAAAAATTATATATTTATTCCAAAATATATCAAGTGTGGTCTCAATTTGTAGATAATGAAAAAATATAAATTTTAATAATTTTTTATTTTTTTAAATAAAAAAATTACACTTATCCAATTAAAATGGGATAAGTGTCCCATTTCCAAGTCATGACCCAAGGCCACAATATGACCTGGGTCTGGGTCGGTGAAATTCACGACCTTCTCTTCTTTTTTTATTTTTTTATTTTTTATTTCTTTGGTTTTAATGGGTGACCCACTAGGTTGGGTCACCATTAAAGGCGGTCTAAAAGTGCCCACCTTTTTTAGTTTATGGAAATAAAATAAAGTAATACCAATACAAATTTCTATATACATATAAAGGTACAGTATAACCTATGGGCTGGTGCCGCTCCTATGGATTGGGCCCTGGGCCGTAGCCCAAGTCGCCTGGCCTAGGGCCGGCCCTGACGGCCACCAACACGAGAACTCAATATTTTATAACTAGAATAATTTTTTTATAAAATAAAAAAAATAGGTGAATAATGATAGAAGCAGAAAAGAGAGAGTGTTACGAGAGAGTGTTATGTAAATAATTTATAAAATCATAACCGAAATGAGAGTGAATATATATTTATATATAATCGAGAGTTTGAGACCGAATTTCTATATAATCAGACCGATTTATAGAAAACTGAGCGCAAAAAGCTAAACAATTAGCACTCCAAGAACTTAGAAATTTAGAGAAGAGAGTTACATATTGTGAGAGGTGTGAAAATTTTGATTTGGGAGGGAGGGGGATATTTATAGGATTTTTTATGATTTTTTCATTTATTTTCTGGACCCGTCGGATTCGGGTCAACCCAGCGGGTCAATCGGGTCTGTCAAATCTGGACCATTGGGTTTCAACGGTGATCGTTACATGATGATCGTTGGACCCGAGCGGGCCAGGTCAAACTCGGACCCAAACCGAACTGGTTAAAAAAAACAGACTGTTGTATCTCAAACAGTCAAATACATTCGAGGCCTAGATCCAATCTGAGCCAACGGTCGGGTAGCACGGGTCTCGAGCCGACCCAATAATAAAAAAAAAAATTGTAAACACGTCGGACATGCTGGATCGTCCCAGGGCTGGTTTGGCTAGGCCCAACCCGGCCCACGGAGTCAACTAAATTTACGAACAAGGCCCAGAACTGGCCCGGTCAAACTACAAGCTTTGGTTCGGGCCTATTGACCAAGAACAGTTCCAGGCCTGTGCGGGTCTAACAGGCCGGGTCGGCCCGTGAGCATGTACATATATATAGAGGGATGTATTTGGATAAAGATTTGAAAGTAAAAAA